TAAATGTCATGGTAGCTCAGGTCCTATTTAAGATTTTTTGAATCAATGAGTCCTATTTATTATCAATTTTTCCCAATTGTTAAAGCTAAGAACATTATCAATTTTGTATAGTAATATTTCACATAATTGTTTTACTAACTGATGAAAAAAAAAACAGAGCATGAGATTAAACGTTTTTATCATTCTACTTATTGGTTTGATTCAATTATCCAATAAAATTGAGAACATTAACAATTTTTTTCAGTTTTAAAATTGAGAACATTACCAATTTTTTTATATTTAAAGTTTTTTTTTTTTTTTTTCTTTCTAGTTTTGCACATCAATGTTCCATTATCATGCTCTTTTATCAACACACAATTTTCAATTTTGCATAGAATTTGTAGTTAGATTTCATGTAAAACTCAAAATATATGAAAAAGAAGTATTTCTCAAATAGAGTCCAAGTATAATTTAAATTAAGTTTGAATTTGTGTAGAACTCAATATGTAAATGGGAAATGTAAATGGGAAATGCATGCTAATGTGGTTTTTTAAGAAAAAAATAAAAATAAAATAAGTGCTTAGAATATGCCATCTAAGAGCATCGCCAACGGTGCATTTCTTTTTTCATCAAATCTGAGTAAAAAATTACCCATTTTACCAAATCTGATATCACTCGCTCAAACGGTGAACTTTCATCAAATTTGCGCCGGGACAACCGGTTGGTCGACCGGTTAAACGAAATTTTTTTTTTAAAATTTTTTTTTCTGAACTTTTTGAACCTTTTAGTGGTTGACCGGCTGGTCAATCGGTAAGGCAAATTTTTTTTTATTTTTTTTTATTACTGTTTGAACCTTTTCTTGGAACTGTTTGAACCTTTTTGTGGTCAACCGGCCGGGCAACCGGCTGGTTGACCGGTTGGTCTCTCTCCAACGGTCACCAACAATGTTTTGGTGAAATCAATATTTCGTCGTCAGTTTGATAAATTTTTTGATGAAATCTCAATATGATATTCATTTGGTGCAACCGTTGGAGCAGTGAACAACAGCTTTTTTATCAAAATTTGAATTTGATATCAGTTTTGGTGAACCGTTGGAGATGGTCTAAGACCTTCTCCAATGATTACTCAAACCTTTCATCAAATTTAAATTTGATAAAAAGAGGAGCTTTTTGTTGCTCAACGCTTTCACCAAACAAGTATCAAACCCAAGATATCATAAATCTTTCATCAAATTGAGAATGGCTTGTGACTTTCATCAATTCACTGTTCATAGCCGTTGAAATTGCAGACACTCGACGTCCAGCCAGACGACCACCTCTTGGCAAAAATATGTGAAAAACTTACATTGGTTGGTCGACTGGCCAGTCATTCCCGATTGACCAGTGGTTTGATGAAATTCCAAATTACACTTTTGAAACACATAATATCATATGAAGCTTCTACTCAAATTTGATGAAAAAAAAAAGATAAACATGATAGATGCTCTTAGAGCATCTCCAACGGTGAATCAGATTTTTCACCAAATTTGAGTAAAAAATGACCCATTTTACCAATTTGATACCACTCGCTCCAACGCTGCACTTTCATCAAATTTGTGTCGGGGACAACCGGTTGGTCGACCGGTTAAGCGAAAT